CCTATCGGAAATATGTCGACTGTGCTTAAAAGACGGGTCCGTGGCAGGAGACCAACAAATTTAACTGAAATATTGTGTATATAATTTTGAGCCTGTTTTGATAAAAAAAAACTCGTGACCAAATACTTGATTACTACTTTTTTTTTATATTCCAGCTGCCAAGTTACAAAGCATCACAGAACACTAATAACACATCTCATACAGAGACGATACGACCTCAAATTTATACGAGCTTTTTTTCCACTATCCAGACAATACGAATAATATAAATATATTCTACAAAGAAATTAAGTAATAAAACATGTATTACTACTATTCAGAATAGTATGTAATTAGTATTGTTAGTATTGCTGTTATTGTTGGTATTTGGCTATAATCATTTTTATTATTACTGTAATATGTTAAATTCTATGAACCCATAAATTTAATAAACGACATGTCTCCTTCTTGACCAAACAGCAGTGGTGTAAAGAAATGTCCTCGACTCTACAGCTCTTATTACACACACTACATGGATAGATTTGTCTCTGATAAGTAAAAGTTCAGAACTCTACCACGTGCTTTCTATCAAAATAACCCTCAAAAATCACTAGACAACTACTAAAGTTTATAAGCAGCTTCAGCACAACTTGAGTGTGGGTGTGCCCACCACCCCTTCACCGCCCTCTTTAGTCTGACAGGACACACCTAGATGCGAGGATCACTGACAGTGGCTTCCATGAGGAACAGGAAATGACACATGCTCAGGAAGACAATATTTCTATAGAAATGTGTACGAATAGTACAACCCCATTTCTAAAAAAGTTGGGATGCTGTGCAAAATGTAAATAATAACAAAATGATGCAATGATGTGCAAATCATTTAAACCCTATATTTCATTGACAATAGTACAAAGAACACATATCAAAAGTGAAACTGAGAAACTGTACCGTTTCTTGAAAAATATATGCTCATTTTAAATTTGATGCCAACAACACAGAGCATCCCAGAGAGGCTGAGTCTTTCAGAAGTAAAGACGAGGAGGAGTTCTCCACTCTGTGAAAGACTGCACGATCAAATAGTGCAACAATTCAAGAATAACATTTCCCTAATGTAAAATAGCAAAGAACTTTTGCTTTTCATCATCTACAGTACATAATAACATCAAAAGATTCAAAGAATTCTCTGTTTGCAAGGGAGAAGGCCACAAAACAATATTTGCTGGCTGTGATGTCTGGGCCGTCAGGCAACACTGCGTTAAAAGCAGACATGATTCTGTAGAGGAAATCACTGCATGGGCTCAGAAACACTTCTGAAACATCACTGTCTGTGTCATTAGTGCACATGGCATGGGTGACGTGCACATCTCTGAGGGCACCATTAACGCTGCACGATCTATACATGTTTAGACAACATATGCTGCCATCCAGACGACGTCTTTTTCAGGGAAGGCCTTGATTATTTCAACAAGACAATGTCAAACCACATTCCGCATGTATTACAACAGCAAAGCTCCGTATTAAAAGAGTCCAGGCACTAAACTGACCTGCCTGCAGTCCAGATCTGTCACCCACTGAAAACATTTGCAGAATATCAAACGAGGAATATCAAACATGCGGAATATCAAACAAGAATTACATGGTTTAAATGATTTGTACATCATTGCATCCTATTTTTATTTACATTTTGCACAGTGTCCCAACTTTTTTGGAATTGGGGTTGCATTAATAGTTGCTAAATATGGCAAAAATATCATATCATGATACTTGAAGACATCTGCACGACTCACAGTACATATCACAGTATTTTGACTTACAAACACACTGCACTAGAAGTGCCACTAGTGATGGACCGATCCACGTTTTTCAGTTCAGATCCGCTCTTTTTTACTTTAATATTACCATTACTGTTGATATTGTGTTTTAGGTGTTTAATTCTCTAATCACTAACCATATGTTTCCGGGTTCACCCAGTGTGCAGTGAGACTTATGAGAGACACTGTGCTCACATCTGAGGTCCAAATATCAGCTGTGAAGCTCACAGCTTTAACATCTAGCCAACTGCGCTGCTGACGTTACTGACACCCAGTTGTACAGTTCATGTACAGCAGTCTCCGAATCTCTGAAGAGTATTTTCTGGATGGCTGATTATTCCTGGGCTCTAAGTGCTCCGACAGGCTGCGAAATTCGACATTTTCCACTACAGACAGCAGTTAGTCATTGAACATAATGAAGTTCAGCAACGTCTCTGTGATCCCTTCAGCTTTGTGTTGTCTGCTGTAAGTTTAGCGCATTTCTAAAAAGCGTCAGCGAGTCTCTGCCTGGTGGTGTCTTTCTGTCTGTTTGCTAGCATGAACTCCTGGTACTCTTTCACATGAAACCTCTCGACACGCTGGCCTTACACACTTTACAAGCAGCTGTCTTGATTTTTGGCATTTCCAGACTAAAATATCTCCAAACGACATTTCAGTCAAACCAACAGCTAAAGTTATTACTCATTAAGTTACAGACTGAAGCTGCTGTGGGTTCATGGTAAGATATGGAGTGGAATCTGGATTGGTGATATGTCTGTTATGTTACGTTACGGCAAGTTCATGGTCCAGCGCAAACTGTCCGATATCCGATGAGTGAAGTGACATAACGATATAGGATCGGACTGGTCCCATCTCTAAGCGCCACATTTAAAAACTGTGATCAATACAACAAAACCCTATGAATACAGTGACGTTCTATGGTTCACATACTGTACTGCATTAAACAGGCTTAATGAAGCACAATAACAAAAACAATAAAACACTGTCATATTGCCCACCTCTACTGGGAAGTCTATAAAAAAGCCCAGATAGATCTGCTTTGGATTATCAGGGCTTGAAGATAAACATCTAAATGGGAGTCCTTGCTCATCGATAAACCAACAAAGCAAAAAAACACGTTACAGTTATACATCTTTTACTACCGTCTACTGAACACCATATTTCAATAAAACAACTAAAACGAATATTTTAGTTTGCAAAACTTCTGTGATTAAAGCCGACTGTGTCTAAATTAAGAAACTAGTGCTAAACGCTTTTCTTCCGGCACAAACCAACCAGCCTCGACCACACACCACAGAATCACGCCATATCAATTTCACACCATCTTATTTAAAACCAAACTTATATAAAACCAAACGCTATGAAGCAAAGCCAGTTACATCCTCTCACCCAAGACAGATGAGACTTGTTTTCTGATGGGGAAATGCTGCCCGCTGTTAATAACATTAACTTTATACTGTATTAAAACCTGTTACATCTTTACTAAGAATGCAACAACACTCTTTAAAAAAAGACGGTTCTTCCAGGGTTTTATAGTGACTAAAATGGTTCTATATAGAAACATGAACACTCAAAGAACCCTTTGTATGATAAAGGGGCCCTCTGCATCATGAAAGAGTTCTTCAGATTGACGGAAAATGTGTATGAATGCGCTGTAGATGGTTCTACGTAGCACCCAAAAGGGTTAAACAGCAAAGAACTTTCGCTTTTCATCATCTACGCTACATAATAACATTGAAAGATTCAGAGAATCTGGAGAAATCTCTGTATGTAAGGGACAAGGCCAAAAACCAGTACTTGCTGGCCGTGATCTTTGGGCCCTCAGGCAGCACTGCATTAAAAACAGACATGATTCTGTAGAGGAAATTACTGCATGGGCTCAGAAACACTTCTGAAAAACACTGTCTGTGAAAACAGTTCATCACTGCATCCACAAATGCAAGTTAAAACTCTAAAACACAAAGAAGAAACCAAATATAAACAGGATCCAGAAACACCGCCGCCTTCTCTGGGCCCAAGCTCATTTAAGATTTAAAATTAAAATTTCTGTTTCAATATTTGATATGTTGTCTTTGTAGTATTTTCCTTTAAAAACATGGCTTACATTGTATTCTATTTTTATTTACTTTCTTCACAGCGTCCCAAGTTTTTTGAAAATGGGGTTGTATATAGAACCATTTTCTTTACTAAACAACCCTGTGAATCACCATCTTTTTTAAGAGTGTACGGTTTGAGCTACACATCATCATCGCAGTATAACCCTCTCAGACACATGCTGCAAAATTTCTCATCCAATCACTGAGCAAGTTCAAGATCAAACCACTATGGCTCCCTTTGTTCACTCACACTGCTGCACCGTTAAGCATGCAGAACATTACAGCTCACATGGGGAACAAGCTTGTAAAATTACAAGTTTTCCATGTAGTGGGTTCAGTGGTGAGTCACTGCAGCTAAGAGCAGCTGCTGAAATAAGGAAGGAAATCTCCAACCCTGTAGGGCCATGGCACTGCGTCAGTTAGCCCTTTATCAGCCCTGACACAATCATCTACTCATTAGTGGCTGGCTAATTAGCTGATAATCAACCCAATCAGGTAAGTCTGAGAGAATCTCCACTCTGGAAGTGCTAGTTATGGGAGTCTGGGGATAACTCTGCTGGACAAATGGGTCATATTCCCGTCATAGCCTACTTTTGTGAATGTTGAGCAAACACTCTTAACACTATCGGCTGTACAAGAGTGACACCAAGTCAAATCAACTGCAAATGAAGTTGAATGAGTATTTATTTGCATACAGCCAACATAAACAAACATTTATATTAAAAAAACAGGCAGTCAAAACGTGACAAGGAATATGATGTATTAGGTTAGTCCAAATGATTCCTTGTATGCCTTTCACATGTTCACGAAGAGCCTAAAATAAAAACAGCTAATAAAAACACATCGTTTTACTGATTTATGACATGGCCGTGCAACTGAACGTTGATCTTTTGTGGTACAACATCATGACTTTACTGGGGTGCGCTTTATTAGTGTAAAAACAAACTGACATTTAAATAAGACCATTATTAAATAATGGAATTATTATGGTAATATTTATTTACTTACAATTGTACATGTACATAAAGAAAAACACAGTATTTATCAGCTAATAGAAACCATGCCAGAAGGTGTGTGTGTCACAAGAATGCATACAGGTGTGTGGGCCTACCTGGGGAGTGGTGACTCTGAAGGTGGCTCCGGTGGTTGGGGTCGCAGGCCGGGGGGACAGGTTACTCTGGGCCTGAGCTTGAACTTGCGCTTGAGCCTGAGCCTGAGCTTGAGCTTGAGCCTGAGCCTGAGCCAGCGCCTGCTGGGGAACCATCACCAGCTGCCCGAGCTCCGTCCGCACCAAAACCATCCCTAACAGACGAGCAGACGCAGTCAGAAAACACAGTAAAGACACATAAGCCTGGACACAGACACTCAGATCAACCCGACAGTTTATTGGATAGACAATTATTATTAATTATTCCAGCATTTTAGCTCAAAAGAAACAACACTGTGAAGCACAACATCGTTTTTTGGCCAGAATCACAGTGCAGTGTGCGCTGCTTGCTGGACAGTGCCAGGATTTTGAGTACACAATGCCGTTGACGTCATTTCAAAATCAGAATTTTTCTTTTGTTCTTTATTGTTCATTTCAAAACTGCAGCTACTCTTGTATTACACACATTGTTATTATAGCAACAATGTGTCAGTAGGTACTAGGGATGGGCGATATGGTGAAAATTATATCACAATACTTCAAGGCAATTTCACGATACATGATATGCATCACGATATTTGTAGTTACGAAATGTGTAGTTAGTCAGTGTTGATGATATCATAGTATGTACATTAAACATTGTTATAAGCACATCATTTACATTGTGTATGAGATGACAAGAACCTTGCTTGTGTTATGGGAAAACGCTCATGTTGTTAGTTACATATGACATCTAGCTTGTACTATAATCAAAACTGCTTTATGATATACAGCAATATTATGCTGTTCAAAATTCTGACAAAAACAACACTCATCTAGGATGAGGTATACATTATGTAAAATATGCATGAATATGTTCATGATGATGATGAAACAAACACTGATCGTAGTATTTACTACCCTGAGTGATTACGCCAACTACTGATTATACCACAGTGCTGCCGGGCACTGTGATGCAAAGAAACACTCAATTAAATGTCATAAGTTACTTATCGCATTTCGTAATTGACCAACTAAACAGAGAATTTGTGAATTGCACTGTTCACTAGCAATTTAATTACTCAAGAAATTACCATTTGGTATGAAAATTGGTAATCTTACATTTCCGACAATGTTTTTTACTCAGAAGGTTCACAGTATGAGAATATTTCCTTCCAAATCTCACTTCAGCTTAGGAACTTTAACAGTAGGTGAGAATATCACCAGTGGTGATATACCCCAGCGGCGAGCTCGATCCCAAGCAAGTAAAGCTGTGAAGGTCAGCAATAAGTGGCTTTTACTGAAGACTATAACAAACACAGCACAACACCAGCTCTCATGTGGCAGTTCAGGCTGACGGAGGAGATATTTTTCTTTAGTTAAACATCCTCAAGTATGAGAACAGTGCTACGTATAAAATTTGTTGTTGTTATTGTTGTTATTACTGAGATAACATCAGTGTCTATGACCTTACTGGGGTATAACCCGTTAAACTGCAGGCTTATTATTCAGCTATTACTTAATATTGCCACACAGTATTATTTTAGGGAATTCAGGGCCGAAGCCGATATAAAAACAGGATCATACCCGTCAATGCTAATGACGCATTATGGAAAAATGTAACATTTTTTTGCATTAAAATATAGACGGGGGTGGTATTGTAGTATACCACAATAGTTAATGATATTTTTGCGATATTTTTGCGATACACATCACGATATTTGGACATAGAGAAGATAAACTTTAAGAACTGCTATCAAAAATTACAGTTTGAATAATTATGATAGCATAATCACCACATGGTTATTATACTATGAATGATTATTCAACATTTCACATACTGTGCTGCACTAAATCCAATTAAACGTGACTAATTACGTTCTCTTTGTAGTGAAACATGCCTTTGGTCAGTGTCCTTTGGGTACATGTCCAGGATATGTTCAGAAAAGCATGCTGTGTATGAGGGCTGAACGATTTAGGGAATTATATCTTATTGCAATTTTCCCCGACTAAAAATGCGACTGCAATTTATATTGCGATTTTTTATAAACTGAGATTCAGGCCTGATTTATTTGGGCTAAGAACACCAGAATATCCACCTCTTTTGGCCTGAGGCTTGACACCTGAAAATAGTGTGCCAAACTGCCAGTAAGTTGTTGTGATGTCACAACACATGGAGGTTTGGTTGCCTCTGACTGGTCTAACTTATCTATGGACATAAGTACTTACTAGGTTCAATTTCCCCTCTTAAAACTCAAAACAACATTTTTCCTAATACACACACCTAAAAAAGATGGTGCTTCAAGGGTTCTTTAGTAAAGACAAGGGTTCTATATAGAACCATAAACACTTAACCACCCATTTTCACGCTTAAAAAGTTCTTTACATGGTGAAATGGTTCTTCAGATTTATGGAGAATGTGTTGTATATGGTTCTATACAGCACCTTTTGGAGAGGGGTTCTATATAGCACCCAAATGTTCTTCTATTGTTACAAGCTTGGCATCATAACAATAGCAAAACCCTTTTTGGTGCTATACAGAACCATGTGCAACACATTCACCACAAATCTGAAGAACCATTTCACCATGCAAAGAACTTTTTTCAGTAAATATCGCCGTCATTCACACTGACAGTATTAGTGACTTTCAGTGTTGTTCCTGGCTTGGTTGAAGGGACGGGCTGAGAGACCCCTCCGCTGAGTGTTACAGCCGACCGACTGAGGTGCACCGCAGGCTCGTGGACGAACAGGCCCGCCTAGCAGGCAGATACGCTAAGGACTAAAGGCAGAGAGTCGAGCGGTTCCTTCCGTTCTCTCTGTAACATTAACTCAGACAGTGAGTGACCACACAGCGGCAGATGAGTGATAACTGAAAGAAGCAGCTCAGTCATTCAGGAAAGCGGCTCCGTTAGCGTGTTCTTCACACCAAAATCTGCCGTTACAGATTTGCCATGTGCATTTTTACTGCTGCTTGCCGTCCCACACCGTCCCAAATTCTGTCTACGCGTGCACACGTCCGAAATTGATGATGGTATCCCTATCACTGATACTGCGTTTGCTGTATCGGTGCAGCACTAATTTAAATTTAATATTTAGCATACTGTGCTGCACTAAACAGGACTATCTTTGCTCTCTTTATAATGAAACATGGTCAGTTAGTTGGTCAGCGTTCTGCAAGTACTGACGATATACACAACATTCAGAAAAGCACACTGTATTGTACTGTGACATAATTTATCACGATAACAATACATACTGTCATATCGTCCAGCCCTACTATACCTTACTCAGTACCTACCACTACCTACTATAAGCTACTCAGTAACTACTATTTATTATTTCGTAACTACTACTAACAATTCAGTACCTACACTATGTTATTCAGCAACTTATTCCTATGAATTATTCAGTACTACGAAACTAATCAGTAAGTTCAGTAGTGAGGAACTGGAGTGTGGGCTCACACACAGAGCCTTGCACTTGAGCAGTGAATAAATAGTGTAAAGTCTGGCACCTAGAACCACAGACCTCCTCGAAGTCTGGGTGTAGAAGTCAATGAAATGTGTCTGTGATGTGCAAATGAACAGACTGCATTCCAGTATGGTCCTACACACTTAAAACATGGTTCTTCAAGGGGTTCTTTAGTACAGGAATTGGTTCTATATAGATCCATGAACACTCAAAGAACTCTTTGCGTGATTAAAGGGCTCTTTGCATCGGGTTCTTAAGATTGATGGAGAATGTGCTGTAGACAGCTCTTCCACTGTTACACGCTTGACCTCAAAACAATAGTAGAACACTTTCTGGTGCTATATAGAACCATTTTCAAGGTTCTATATAGAATCATGTACAGCCCATTCTCCATCAATCTGAAGAAGCTTTCATGGTGCAAAGAACGCTTTGATGATGCAGAGAGTTCTTTAAGTGCTCATCGTTCTGTATAGAACCAATTTCCTTACTAATAAACTTTTGAAGAACCATCTTTTTTAAGACTGTATGGAAGGATAAAGTTCTGCATCCCCGCCATCCTTGATGCATGGGAGTTCCGGCAGGTTACCCGAGTCTGGTAGCGCCACCTTCCTTCACAGGTAACTGCAAATGCGGTTGTTTCTTCTGCTGAGCTTTTCAGCAGCATTGCTGTGTCTGTTCCACTGTAAGACAATCACATTCTCTCGATCAGACAAAAGTGTCTTGTTCTTCATTTACATTTCGCAATTGTTCTCACACAACTACTGTCACTAAGTCACTTCACATTTACAGAAACAGACACAGCCCGTTCTACATCTACTGTCTCACAGTCACTTTATAGACAATGCTGCCATTGGTTAATTAGGTCTATACACGTCAAGTTGCACCCTTTGTGTTCTAGACAGCTGTGTGGTTTGTATTCTTCATTTCGCACTATTCTGCTTCTGTTAGTATCTGTGTTCTGAGCCGAGTTTCAGCTTACAAACGTCCCTGGCGTTCTGTGCGAATGAGAAATAAGACTTTGACGTTGATTTGGCAACAGGGCTGGGCAATGTGACGATATTTATCCTTTATCATGATAAACTGCTTCACAATATGTCACAATATGCTTTCTGAGCATATCAGGGATATTGTCAGTATTTAAAAACACTTCCCAACTGCATGTTTGATGACAAAGAAAGTATATTTAGCCCTGTTTAATAAGATCTAGTGAAATGTTGAATAAAAGTAATTGCATCGTAGTAATTACTGTATAACTGCATGTAGTTTTTGATAGTATTTTTTAAAATGTGGTGCTACTTTGTCGATTTCAACTTATTAGACGTCAGAAACATTTTTGTTTCATATCGTGTATCATAAAAACTGTTTGAAATATCGTGATATTTGCGTTTTTGCCATATTGCCCACCTCTCTGTGTGGGGTGGTGGTCAATGTTTGATTACACAGACAGCATAATAACTCTTGTATTTACATTTAACACAGCATGTTGTAAGAAATGTTAAATGTAATTTGTTTTTTTGTAAGAATTATAGTTTTTATAGTGTCGTATTCTGTTAAATGTGCTGCTACTTTTTCTGTTCCAGCTTATTAGATGTCAGAAAAAAAAATGTTTCATATTTTGTATCATGAAAACTTTCTGAAGTATCATGAGAGACTATTTTTGCCATATCGCCCACCTCTACATGAAGGTATGCAATATGATGACATTTATCATCGTCATACATTTTCTGAGCCTTTCATGAATACTGCAGGTACTAAAAGATAGACGATATAACAACATTTATCCTTATTGTGATAAACTACATCACAATATGTCTACACAAGCTTTTCTGAGCACATCATGGATATCGTCAGTATTTCAAAACACCTCCCAACTGCAGGTTTGATTACACAGACAGCATAATAACTCCTGTATTTAAATTTAGTACAGCAATGTTAAATATAATTACTTGATTACTTGTAGTATTATCATTTTTATAATATAGTATTCTTTTAGATGTGGTGCTACTGTCTGTTACAACTTAATAAAAGTCAGAAAAAATATAATGACTTATAGTGTATCAACATATTACATTTTTGCCATATTGCCCTGCTATACTAATAGAAGCATGTATTATTACAATGACAGAATATTAGACCAGTTTACCTGGATTTAGCACAATGCAGTCTGTAAAGCGTTAAATAAAATCACTGTACTCAGTTTTTGATGGTATTCTTTAAATGTGGTACTCCTGGCTCTTTCTTCTGCATTTCAAACCACATAAAAACGAAATATCGTGAGGCATACCGCTTAGCGTGAAGATGTCGTGAAGGATCATGATGGTATATTTTTCCTCTGACTTTAAAAGAACAATATTAGACACTGAAATGTGTTTACTACTCTTTTCCCTCCAGCTGAGCACTTCTTTTGCCCAGTGCTGGAACAAGAGCATCCAGCAGGCTCTTCCTCTCACAAGCACTGGTTTTTATCTTCCTCAGAGTCTCAGCACTGCAACAGGTGAGGCAGTGAGCGCAGCAGCAGGCGAGAGAACTTCACACAGGATCAGGGCAAAGAAATGCAGGTCTCAGAAAAGTACAGTAAACACTGCCTGACAAGAAGACAACCGCTTAATGTGTGGGGGGGGAAAGGAAGAGAAAATGAGGGGAAGAATTTTTGCAACTATTTCTCCACAATAGAAAAGACAATCTGGAAGATGTACATTCCTGATAGACTGTGTCAAGTTGACCAAAATGTGCGAAAACAGTTAAATGAGAATTACACTGTATTCTCAACTTCTGCACAGTTCAATGGTTAAGATGTAAACAAAGTCATGCAGAGTGGTTTGGTGTGAAATGCTGTGTTGTGGAGAAACTTGACAAGCCAGAAACGTTCACAGCAGTTCTGATAGGAACCAGACGTCTGAAGAACCGCCTCTAAAAGCTCCATCACAGACAGATATTACGAGAAGTGGTTATGCACACACAGCTGATGTCTCGGACATTGTTTCATGATAATTTTGCAACAATCTTTCAGCTTAAATCATATTTTTTAAGCACACTCATGGCGGAGGGGTACATGCAGGGCGTTGTGAGGCAAAACAGTCCCCATAAAACTTTTTTTCCAGATTTGCATCTATTTTCCATCATCAACATTCCTTTAAAACTCACAAGACTCGTGTAGGTTCACTGGTGGTTTTGGATAGTAAATAAAATCATTATGTTTGCAATGTAAACATCGCAACTCCTGGTTCCCATCACCACCACTGTGAGAAAATCAGAGTCTCTACAATCTAACATTCAACACCAAATCACTCCGAGTGACTCTGTTTACATCTTAACATCTTAACTTGTTCAGAAATTTAGAAAAATGGGTGGATTTCCCCTTTAACGTTCCTGAAAACTAAACCGAAACTGACAAGCTGACCAAAACAATGCATGAAAACACCGCTAATTTGTTCGGTTTGGCTTCATTTTTCTGACTGAGAGTCAAAACATGTAAAACAGGCTGTCAAAACGGCTAAAACGACACAAACCGTGATTTTTTCACCACAGAAGTCGTCATTCTGAGCCGAACTAGCTAAAGCGCTAGGTTAGCTCTGTGATGCTAACTGACACCGTTCACTCCGGTTCTCTGTTAGCCGCGTTAGCGCGACTCCGGACTTCCCCTTTAACCGCCGCTTGAGCGGGAAAGAGAATCTCTGAACTTTCTTACCGGGCGGGATGGTGAAACCGGGAGGCAGCTGAATGGTCGCCTGTTGCTGCGGAGCTCTGACGATCAGCTGCGGGGCTACGATCCGCTGCGGTGCCGCGAGCGCGGTTCGAACCTGGGGAGGCTGCGGCGGCGCGACGTTAGCGGGGGGCGCGAGCCTCACCGTGGCCGCTGTGGTGACCGCTGTGGTCACGGTGACGGTGGCGACGGTGGTTACGGCCACGGGACCGGGCGAGCTGGTAACGGCCGCGCTCGAGGTGGTGGTAACGGGCGCCGGAGCGCTGGGTAACGGTACTGAGTTCTGGCTCGGCGCGGCTGTGGCAGCGGGTGCAGCTGCTTTGGGACCGCTCGGTTTCGCCGCTTCGGCGGCGCTTTTGCTGTGGTTCACCTGCGGCGGCGGCGGTGGCGGCGGCGGCGTCGGCGGCGGCGGCGGAGCGGGACCCAGCGCGCCCTGCTGCACGAGCGCAGACACTGTCGTCGTGCCGTTGCGGTTCTGCGCGAGGCTGGCGACGATGTGGCTCGGGAGTCGGTGCAGCGCGATGGTGGGGGTCCCCCGGTCCAGCGCGATGGAGGACGCGGAGGAGCCGGTGCCGCTCACAGTGAACGTTGTGGTCGTCGTGGTTGTCATGGTGGTCGTTGCGGTCGTTCCCGTCACCGCGCGGCTGGACGCCGCTGTCACTGAGCCGGGAGCAGCAGCAGCAGCGGGGTGGCTGGTGGTGTTGTTGTTGTCGCTCTTGGCCGGAGAGCTCGCTGTAGCCGTTGCTGTGGTAGCTGCGCTGTCGCCGTTCACGCTCTGCGCTCCGGAGCGCCTCGTCCGCACCGTCGCGTGCTGCTGTTTTTTACGCGTGTCGTAGTCCCGCGAGCTCGCACCTTTGTTGTTACCGGGCCCGCTGCTGACCGGAGAAGTTCCCGTTAGCGCGAGCCCCTCGGGTACAGACCCGGTCGGGCTGCTGCTGCTGCTTGCGCTCGTTCCAAGTGATCGCGGAGCGCTCGCTCTCCCGCTCTCCGAGCTCGAGCTGTCCTGTTTGGCGCCGCTGTCCGAGTCCTGTCCGGTCCCGGCTTTACGCTGCTGCTGCTGCTGCTGCTGTTGTTGTTGTTGTTGCTGCTCGGATGTGCTGCCCGCTCGCGCAGGCAGCGCTCGCGCCAAGCGGTGGTTCGCGCCGCCGCCGCCTCCGCGCGCCGTTACCGACGCTGCCGTTGCGGACCCCGATGACCCCGCCCCGGTCGCCGGGTCGCTCCGGCCGCCGAGCTGCGACTCCAGAGAGCCCACCAGGTCGCTGACGGCTTTCTCATCCACCTCCGAGAACAGCATGTCTTCCAGAGGGTCGGAGGCGCCCGCCATCTTCGAGGGAGATCACTGTGTGAGCCCGAGCGCGAGCGGACACTGCGCGTGCGTGTTACCAGGGCATTGTGGGAACGGCGAGTGACGTCAGAGCATCGTTTTTCTCCAACGAGGGTTCTTTTTTTCCAAAGTACACTCTTAGAAAAGGGTTCTTTAGTAAAGACAGTGGTTCTGTATAGAACCATGAACACTCAAAGAACCGTTTGCATGCTTTGATGGTTCCTCTGCCTAGTGAAATGGTTCTTCAGACTGATGGAGAATGTGTTGTATATGGTTCTATGTGGCACCTTTTTGAAAATGGTTCTATGCAGTACCAAAAAAGAGTTCTTCTATTGTTACCATGTCAAACGTGTATATAATAGAAGAACCTGTTTTCAGTGCTATATAGAATCATTTCCGAAAAGGTTCTACATAGTACCATACGGGCTACAACACATCCTCCATCAACATGGAGAGCGATTTCACCATGCAAGCAGCCATTTAAGCATGCAAATGGTTCTTTGAGTGTTCATGGTTCTATATAGAACCTCTGCCTTTACTAAAAAACCTTTCTTAAGAGTGTAAGAAAACCATGTATTATATAATTGTTTCTTATATTAGGGAAGTTTCATATTCATAAAGTAAAGTGGTTTCTCTTTCCAAACCTAATTTGATGCACTTCTTGGTAGGTTTTGAACAATATGTCATCTTTATAGAATATTCAAAAAATAAAGACAATCAATGATCAATGCAATCAAAGAATTCAATATAATTCAATATAATGTGATGTTTTGTTTTTGTGATGTTTTTTCCTTTTCTCTATAAACCCGTGGCAACGAATGTATGTACATTTTTAGTTCGTGTATGTTATTTGTACCTCTTGTTACATTTTGGTGGTAATATAATAGTAATAACACTAATAATAAAGTCTTATAACTAAAAAAGGGGAGGAATCACAGTTTCAATCTGAGATTTTGATATAAAAGTGATTCATCTTTCAGGTCTACGCTGTTAGAAATAAAGGTTTTGTGCAGGTACATTTTTCATTAATCAAGGTACAAACAATGTAATTGTGCCCTCAAAGGTACAACAGTGGTTTTAAGGTACCTAAAGTTTCAGGTGAAAAGTTCATATTTGTACCTTTTCATAACCGAATGTTTTAAAACAGAGCAATAATTTCAATGGTTTATGATACAATTATGTTCCCTGACTAAAGGTACTGAGATGTACCTTTGATGGTACCGCCCTAGTGACAAGAGGGGGACTGCCCCAGTGACAGTTCAGTACCTTTATTTCTGAGATTGTACCTTCCTGTAAATAAAGTGGGTCCCATTTCTCAGGCGTGCCTATATGATACATGATGCACCAGATAAAAAGGCTGATGAGTATTTCATGTGGCGTTTCTGTTTTTTGTACACAGTAATACTCATCATGTATCAATACTGTATTTTGTCATTTTTTTCTTTTTTAAAAATGCCTGACAAATTATCAGCTGAGCAGTAAGAAGTGGAAAAAGGAAAGGGGACATTTTTTGAGTAGTGAATTATATAAAACAGAAAAATAACACACACACACATGTCTTCAGACTGTGGGAGAGAAGTAGACTACCCAGAAATCTACGCAGACACGGGGAGAACATGCAAACTTCCTAGTTGCCTGGCTGGGGAATCGAACCCAGCTCCTTCCTGGTGTGAACCATCCATTGCGTCACCGTGCCACCTACAGGATGGATGGATGGATGGATGGATTCCTATAACTCAAAAAAAAGATTCTTTTTTTTCTCTGTATGCCTTTTCATAGCGGTAGCATGACCTCCTGGTTTTGGAAGAAACTATGTGTTTATTGTTTTTCTTACACGACCCCTGATTATAACTTTGAACTCAAGGACGTCAATTGTTACTATGAGAACAAGAACAAAGCCGTTTAATTGATCATGAATTTTATTTTTTTTTTCCTTGCCAAATTCTATATTCACATGGAAAAATGTTTGAAAAACGTCGCCAAGTTGGAAGATTTTTAGTAGAAATTGAGTATCATATAGAGTCTCAGAACAACTAACAACCCAAAGAATGAAAAACTCTGAAAAAAATACAATGAGATGTTTGCAGAGTAGCACAACTGTGTGCTCCCTCAGTTCTCCCTAAATCTTTTTAAATCTCTGATCCATTTTCCCTTCATTTCACTCATAAACATGTTTCTAGTTTGTTCGCTTTTAACTTGTAATGATTTACTTTTGATATGTTGTATTATTCTTTATTTCTGAAATGAAGTGGGAAAACAAGGCTTCTTTCATCTTCCTTTGTCCCAGGCTGTGACCAAAACCACACGCTATTGCTGTATTATAAACACTGTATATACACTGTTAATGAATAGGCGACTAATGAGTGGTGCCCTCTTACTAAGCGTGGTAGTCTGCAATTTTGGACGCAGCCACAAAGTCCGCACTTGTGGTTTCGCCCATGTGCGCCTTCCGTGTGCTTTCCTGTAGGGCTGAATAATTTAGGCAAGATATCTAATTGAGATTTATTTCTGATCTGCAATTGCGATTGAAATTGCAATTATTTTCTATAAATCGAGGTCCAGGTCTTTTGTTGGCCAAGAAGTTGTTGTGTTCTAAAAATGTGTCAGTGCAATTCATAAAACAACGCAATCACAAGCTGCATTCTGAGCATTAGGCCAGAAACTCAATGCTAGTACACAAACGCATGGCCCTTCTGTACAAACTCACCCTGCGTTCTTATCCCTCCTCCACCAAACTTTACTGTTGGCACTGCATTTTGGTAGGTTGCATTCTCCTGCCATCCACCAAACCCAGATTCATCCATCAGAAACCTGATTCATCACTCCAGAAAACACGTTTCACTGCCCCAGAGTCCAGTGGGAGTGGTTTACACCCCTCCAGTGGACGCTTGGCATTGTGCATAGTGATCTTAGGTTTGTGTGAAGCTGCTCGGCCGTGAAAAACCCATTTCATGAAGCTCCTGACACACAGTTCTTGTGCTGATGTTGCTTCCAGAGGCAGTTTGAAATACTGTAGTGAGAGATGTAGCAGAGGATGGGTGATTTTTACATGCTATGTGGTTCAGCGCTTAGCAACCCCTCTCTGCGACTTTGCGTGGTCTACCGCTTCATGGCTGAGCTGTTTTGTTTCCATTTCACAATAATAGCACTTAAAGTTGATTGGGCCAGATATAGCAGGGCAGAAATGTCACAAACTGGCTTGTGACAAAGGTGGCATCCTATGACAGTGTCATGTTTAAGGTCAATGAGCTCTTCAGTACGACCCATTCTACTGCTAATATTTGTCTATGGAGGCTGCATGGCAGCGTGCTTGATTTTATGTTAGCAATGGGTGAGGCTGAATCACCTGAACATGAAATAATTAGGACATACTTTTGGCCATGTAGTGTGTATTGTATCTATGGCGTCTCTGCTTTTTGTGGATGATGTTGTCTATTTAGCTCCATCTCATGGAGGCCTCCAGCACTCACTGGAGTGGTTTGCAGTTGAGTGTGAAGTGATTGGTATGAGAATCGGCGCCTCCAGAGTCCATGGTCCTCGCCTGGATGGCACGCCCACTCCAGGTAAGGGGAGAGGATCTGCCCCAGGTGGAGGAGTTTAAGTATCTCAGGGTCTTGTTCACGAGTGATGGGAAGAGGGATTGTGAGATCGGCTGCAGGCTGGGACAGGCGGCAGCAGTGATGCGGTCACTGTGCCAGACTGTAGTGGTGAAGAGGGAGCTGAGCCATAAGGCAAAGTTCTCTGTTTACCAGTCGGTCTACATCCCAACCCTGACCTGTGGTCATGAGCTTTGGGTAATTACCAAAAGAATAAATTTGCAGATACAAGCGGCGGGAGACAGGGTCATCTGGGATTCTTTGCTTTCCCTACTGTTACCATGACCTTAGCTGGATCAAGCGGTTTAAGATGATGATGATGATGATGTATATCTGGGACTGCCAGGCTAAGTATCAGTTTGTTCCAAGGTCCTCTCTTGCACCTCATGATTGTACAGAACACCTCCAAAGTTCAGTCTTAGAAGCTGGTTGATCATTTTCTGAAGTAATCAAACACATTCAGTGGTGTTGAGGTCTGGACTCTGGGGTGGTCAGTCCATTGTTCAGCTTCTTTGTTTGATGTGTCCGTCTCCTTTTCTCTGTGAGGTTCTTCTTGACAGCTACACATCCTTTCAGACCCACAGCGCTGAGTCGTCTTCTCACAGTGGAAGGATGGACAGAAACACCTGTGGATGTTTTCAGATCTGAAGCAGCTTGATTTTCTCCTCTCTCTCAGAGATGAAAGCTTTAAGTGTTGTTTATCTGATGGGGGCAGTTTTGGTGTCTACCAGGTCTTCCAGGTGGTTGTTAGGTGTCACATTTTCTGTGTCGCATTTATAATTCCAGTTTTGTAAACTGATTTTCCTTTGATTTTTCTGTCCTTATGCCAGTGGACTGTTTATCTGATGGGGACGGATTCTACAAAATGAATCATTTGTACTTCGTGGCTGTTTTGACTGGAAATTAAACAAGCCAAGGTTGTTCTCTGACTTTTGCACAGCACCTTATTCTATATGTATTAACACAACATGAGGCTCAGTTTCTATGATTAGCAAAGTTAGCATGTGTTCCCATTTTTCAGTGTTGTGTTTGTTTTTTTCTCTGTTTCTCTCTCTTTTTGTTCTTTTCAGGCAGCTTAAAGCGTTATCGACCCACAATCCACAATTTTTCTTTTTTCTTTCTTCAAGCTAGCAGTTATTTGTCAATTAAAAATTTTAAATGTGTTTATATTCAGAACAACACACACAAGTCTCGTCAGGCACTTTGTTGAGTTACTGAAGCGCAGTTCAAAAAGACGCAAAACACAAGGCTCAGATTTGACATTAAGCAAAGTTAACAACTGCTCCAGTTCTTTCCTGGTAACAGTGAAAGTTAATGTTGAATTCAAAAATGTTCTGCACAAAATTACAGAAAGTGTGCATTATTGCTGGGGTTCAGTGTAGAATTCTTAAAATAGTTAACTGCACATTTTAAAGGAATG